CACCGTGGCAGATGCAGGATGGTTCTGGTCCACAGAGCTCACCATGGCAGATACAGGATGGTTCTGGTCCGCAGAGCCCAATCGTGGCAGATGCAGGATGGTTCTGGTCCGCAGAGTTCACCATGGCAGAGGTGGATGGTTCTGGTCCGCAGAGCCCACCATGGCAGATGCGGTGTGGTTCTGGTTCTGGTTCACAGCCCCGCCCTCCGGTGGCAGACTGGGTGGCTCTGGTCCTGGTCCTCAGTGCTCGCTGTGGCCAGGATAACTGGGGCATCAGCTTTCATTGTGCTTAGTGTGTTCGTCCACGCGTGCCGCATTTCCCCAGGATTTCCTGAAATTCAGTGCCTACATCTGTAACTGCAGATTGTGGCACATCTCATTCCTGACGACATTCCTTGAGGACACTGCTTACACGAGTGAATGAAAAGCAACAACCAAGGTTAATTTTCGGTTATTCTGGACCATTCTCAAATGTCTGCTCGGCTGCAGCAGAAATAGATTGTGGAAAATGAGCAATTGGCAAAGTAGCATGGGGCTTACAGCTTTATTCCTGAGTCGCACTAAAACAGACATGTTCCAGGCAGTGAGTCCTGGCTGGTGAACGAAACGGAGGCGGAGAGCAGCTTAGACATCCTCTTTCTCACCTTGTTATCAAGTCATCATTAGTGAAATGGTTTCCTGTGGCTAGAGAGCTGGCACAGTGAAGAAACTGTTCTGGGGGAACTGAGACACAGAAAACTCAGACCTCTTCCTACTGCGTGTTGAAAAACTTGAGGCAGAAAATCATTCTCTTCTCAGTTGTAGGCTCCCCCCTTTTTTATTACCCGCATGACCACTTTAGGATATTCTGAACTCTAAGAACATCTGCAGACTTGGGAGCAAGACCTAGAGAAGTGTTTCGCCCCTTCTGTTCTGGTCACTTTGAAGCAATAAAACCCTAATGGCTTCAGCAGCTGGAGCTGAAAAGGCTACAGACAGGCCCTGCCCCATTTGATAAGTAGGAAGGAAATGTTGGGTGGGTAATATTAGTCACGTGAAGGGAGCCACGTCAGAGTCGAGGTAGACTGACATGTTGGGCTGGGCGGGTGTCCACGCAGGAATCAAGGTAAACTGAGGTGTTGGGCTGGGCGGGTGTCCACGCAGGA